AAATTTACATAATTTTAATATAAAAATTACTACTATTAAACTTTATTATTGCAGAAGGTTGATTATATTATCACAGGTATATATTTTATAACCCACAAGGTGAAAAGAATGAAAATACCTTGTTACCAAAAAGTCTGCTAATAAGAATTTCAAGCTTTGCAGATACTTAGTGTTATAATTTTCAAAAATCTGTACCTTGATATTCAACGTTATATTTATATATTTAAATTACTCGTCACTTTGGTGTGTATGAATGAGTATAATTTTGTGAACAATGTATATTTTTATGGTGTACTTTTTGTGACATAATAATGAAGTAATAATAATATTATTAAATATTGCACAGAGTTCTACATGTCAGTTGAGATTTTTTTCCATTTGAGAGCTAAACAGGATAAATAGTGAAAATTTGATTATGATGCTTCAAGCACTGAATAATAACAGTAACAGAATAACACAGCAATTACAAATTTTACATAGAGACATATTTATTTTACTATATTACGATACTGAGTGTAAGAATAATTATTCTTATTCAATTTAAAGACATTCCAGTTTACTAGATACATATAACAAATTTTTATAATTGATTTAAGTAATTTTAGATTTGGTCAGATTTATTAAATCCCTTGCAGTTTCTCGGAAAGCGAGAAGATCGTGTGGCTCTCGCGCGAGAAGAACTTTATGAAGTGGTAGATGGTCAAACCTTTGATCATATCTTATTCCAGTACACTTGAAATGAGAAAATAATTATCGTTTTAAGTTATTTTTGTATAATTTATTAATTATTGTACATGGGTAAGATATTCTACTTACATTGAATATTATCTCGTCAGAATCTTGAATTTCACTACTTGATGGACAAAGTTCAGCGGGAAACAAGTCAGCAGATCTCATCACAGCTTCTACAAAGTACATTTCCAGATTGACAACAGATAATCTCAAATCTCTAACTTCTGACTCAGTCCAGAATGACCAATTAGATAATTTTCCATTTGAAGTATCATCGAAATTGATGTTCTCAATGTCATGTACTACATAGCTATAATCAGCATCTTTAGACCAATCATAAACTAATACATGCGAATGCTTGGCCAACGGTTTTAAGTATTTTTCTTTGTATGACTTTTCCAAATGACTTAGGAATTTTGATGTAAATAACTTCGACGTAACTTCTTCGGGTCGACCTCTTTTCTTAATTTTCTCCTGAAATAAATTGGTCCCAGAAGTTAAGCATAAGTAAAATTATAACAATTCATTAAAAGTGTATAATGGAACTTTACTTGAACAGTCTCTACAGGTGCATCCAAATATATTATTATATGCGGTTCTGGAAGGTTCTTCTCTGGAACAGTTCTCATACACATATAATGTTTGACTAGATCATTACTGACATACCCACTCTTTAACATTGCATCAGCAAAAGCAAGATCTGAATACACGGATCTATTAAGGACTACACCTTGACCGGTTGATAACAGATGGATTAACGCGATCAAATATTGTTCCATTCTCATAAGAAAAAAATTGATTTGGAATGTGTTGGACCTTATATCATTAGGATTTTTTAAAAAATCTTCTAACACAAAAGATCTAAGGATTGGTGGAAGTTTTGGATCCAATTCCCTTTTATCGAATCCAGTTGGAGTAAAACATAAGTCTTCCAAGTGTGAAGGTGGTGGCATATATAGCAATCCAAATTCTTTTGCTAAATATTCACATAATTTCGTCTTTCCAATGGCAGGAGGACCATCTACAGTCACTATTCTGGTATTTTCATCAAATCTATATGTCATTGGATCCATAAACTGTTGTCTTATTGATCCATATTGTTTCTCCCAATATGGATATGGAGCAGGTTTCGCTCTAGGTTCTTGGAAAGCCGTTCTCGTCATAGATGCCAGTTGTATTACATTATAACTGTTTGATACCTAACAGACAAGTAATAAAGAAATAATTCCATTCTATTATTTATTTGAATACAGTGAAAAATATGATTTAATTTCTCGCTTAGCTTATGAACATATGAAAAATGTGAAAGAAATATTTATTCTTTTACATTTTCGTTGAATTATATCGTTAAATTAACAATACTTCTAAGAATACTAACCTTACATAATCGTTTTAAACACCCTATAGAACTGGCTTTTGAAATACAGGCAGTCGACATCAATGCCATTGTACTGGAATAAATGTTACGTGAATAACAAAAATTCAAATACTGTTAATCAAACACAACATCGTAAGAACTACTTTTCAGCTGATTTGTATATACCTTAACTTAGACACTACGAACCCACGGCCATTCAATACCTCCAGTGATGCTCATTCGGTATACAGACTAAGCCATTTACAAGATCCTTACTGTCATCATAAAATGCCCCGCTTTCTAAAACAATTCTTGCAATCATGAAATATTATAGTTTACTCATAAAACAGAGTAGTAATTATTGAAAAACCAACGAAAGTAAAATTCATTTTAACATTGATTTCAGATTCGCATGTCTTGACCACAGGATGAAACTAAAGTATTCTGTATTAACGACGAGCAAATGTTAAAACAAATTTACTAATTAAATTATTTCATTCATAAATTCAACGAATTACTTTCTTGAACCACCTGATTCCTCATCCAACAGCATTTAACTAGAGCCGTCTCATAGGAAAAGAAAGACGAATATTCATTTACGCGCTTAAAATTCATGTTACACATGATTATTATAATACAATTTTAGAATAGATAAAAAGAATATTCCCAATGTGGACGTGTAGGTTAATATTGATGTAAACTTCATGGATATGCGTGCATATGTATAGGTGTAACGTGCGTGTATGCGTTGTTTTGAATAAACGCGGAAAAAAAGAAAAGATATTGAAAAAAAAAGCGAAGTTTGTGTTGACAACGAAAAATATATAGAAATTGTCATCGTTTAAATAAACGTCTATACCAATATATATATATTGCATAGGAAAGAGAAAATCCTTCGTAATATTGTCAGAGGCGCTAAATGAAATCACACAGGTGTGACAGCAGCTGTTAAAATCATTGTAATTCGTAAAGAGAGAAAGAGAGCATTTTTCCCATTACTGTAATGAGAAAGACAAGGACAGCGCATGCGTGCGACAAGGATGGACAATTTGGTTGCGAGCGACAGTAGCGCCATCTAGCGGACGGGCGTTTTCGAAGCTTCTCCCTATACCTGTAATGTGTAAGACAAGGACAGACATACTGTGCGACAAGGACAGAGATAGTCTCACACTCTCTCTCTCTCGCGACCTCCTTGGAAAAAGCATCTCATCAGTCCCTGGTGCGTACGCGCGAAGCATCAGGACCGAGGAAGTCTCCGTGACAGTAATTTTGGTGGCGGCATCTAGCGGCGGAAGCTATGAACTAAACGCGACACTTCGATCGGGAAAGGAACAGCGAATTCATTAATAACTCGACTAGCAGAAATCATTTATGAACATTTGTAACTTAGAATCATAGAATGAACATTTCCCTACTTTCCTATTATCGCTTTGGATAGGATTCTTCGCCTCGTTAATTATTTATTAATTATTTTTCGGGACGATGTCACAAGGTAACCAGGAATTTTTTTACAGGTGCCCAGTAGACAATTAAGTTTCTCGCTTAAAAGGCATAATTTGTAAACATTTGCGATTGAGGAAATTGGGGTAGACTCTTAGGAACATTCACTAGCAGTTTGAACCAGATTTGAGCAGTAATTAATAAGCTATTAGCGATTTTCTGATGGGTTCTTCGCAGCTCTAAGGAAGTCGTTTTTGGCGCCATCTAGCGGACACGGCGTGGTACTAATTGGCTAGAAGTTTAAACCGTTTTGCACTATGTGGCGCCACCGATGATGGAGGCGGGATTTTTTAAAATTATTTTCTTAAATTACCTTCGCAGGTTTTTAATAGATTAGACACGACTATTCTGTGTTACGAATGAAATATTTAATATATATTTGACAATAAACAATTAATTATGACACTGAGATTGACTATATAAAGAAAGCATTTAACTCCGTTCCGAATTCAAAAGAGGAAAATCAAAATTCGAAAATCAACATTCCTGCTGTTCCTGCTTCGTCGTTTCTTCCCATCGAGAAACCCCTCGAACCCCCCAGAGATGCCACTCGGGTATCAAACACGAGCTGTCGAGGGGGTCTTAGAACCCCCAGATTCTCCGAGGGGGTCTTAGAACCCCCGCAGAAACTTCTTGTGGGGTTTCGAGGGGTCTCTTGTCAGTTTTAGAGAGGTTTTACGAGGGGGTCTTAGAACCCACCAAAAATCTCTCGGGGGATTCGAGGAGTCTCTTATTAGTTTTCGAAAGGTTTTTCGAGGGGTTCTTAGGGGTTTCTCGTGGGGTTCCAG